GGGTGTCGGACGAGGTAAACACCGTGGAAAGGTCCCTCCTCATCGTCGTCACCGATGTAAACGACAAGAAACCGGAAGTGCGAGTATCAGACGCCGTCATTGTTGAGAGGAGACTTGGAGGAGCTATCTTGTATGGTGGAACTGTTTCAGCAATTGATGCTGATGTGAACGACACCCTCACGTTCCAGCTGATAGGTGTGTATGAGAGATTCCCATCAACACCAAATGATGTCTTCACATATCTAAACATTGCTTCACCAACTAGTACTTCACTACGTCGATATGCCACGCATTTTGAAAACAAATATATTATCTCAGAATATTTATAATGATATTTATCTCTTGCAGACAGCCCCTCAACTGCTGTAGTCGTAGATCCACTAACCGGAGTGGTGTCTCTCAATCACACAGCCACAATCATTCAGAAAACATTTCCGCAAATATTCACCATAGCTGTCACAGACAACGCAAGCCACGTGACCACAACACGTTTCAGCTTAAGTATGGTCTCGTCTGGTAATGGCGTAGGGAGTGGAGAAACAACAGTCAGCCAATCCAAGGCTGGAGTCGAGGATCCCCACAACACAGGAGGGGCTTTCACAATCAGGATGACAGCCGGCAATCACACGGCGAGCAACAAACAGAACGAACATCACCTCCAGACTCCGCACAGGCACATTGCTACACGTTAGTTCAGTTGATCATTTATCGTGAATGAAAGAACAACATGTAGGTCTGAATTCGGCCACAGTGAATGAGTGAGTGAGTGAGTGAGTGTTGCTTTAAGCCGCATTCCAGTTACACATCATATTATGGCTGCTTCAAATGGGAGGAGCAACCAAAGTGATGCTGCCTAGGTTTGGTTTGGGCCAAATATTAGCTTGTTAATGACAGCCAGTGGTCCCTCACACGACTAAACCGTGCCACACAACACAACAACGGACATATTGTTGGGCATACTTCGGTAGATTTGTAGGCAACTGAATCATCATAAATATAGGTGCTGTCACATCAAATAATGACTTGAATCTCATTGCAGTGTGCCACAACTTGGCCTCCGCGGTTGTCCAGACGTCCGCTGTGTACCTGCTTCTCCTTGTCCTACTGTTCTGGTACTCGATATAGAGCATGAAATTTTGCTTGGAACCAGGCCCCAATTTCTCGAAACAAACTTAAGTCTTAGTTTTTACTCAAATTTGAGAAAATGCAGGAAAACACCATTTCCAGAATAAACTGAAATCGATATTAAATTCAAACAGTAGACAACTTGAGTTTGGTAGATAGACTACTTGAGTTGTTTCGACTTTTTGAAACGCAGTTGAGTTAGAAATTCAGTTGTTTCAAATAATCAAACACAGTTTGAAATTTGAGTAAAAACTTCAGTTTGATTCGAGAACCGTGTGTACCTGTGTTGTATCTGGTGTACCATTACCTTTGACGAACTCTTGATCAGAGTAAACTCCGTCATGCAAGCTAACATTTTCTATGATATCAGTTCTCATTTCATCACACCTCTGGTTCAAGACAATTAAAAGTAAGTTTTAAACCAAATATTCACACTTCTGGTTATCAGTGGTTAAATGTCATATCAAACAAAGTTGTGTTGTTTTACCACAGAACGTCACAAGCAAGAGCACCCAATACATCTATCACCACGTCGACCTTCAACACCCGCCCCTCGCATAATGATCTCCCCACACACACACACACATACGTCGACGCTCTGCACCCGCCCCTCGCATGAGCTCCCCCCCCCCCGCAAATGTAATAGTGTTTGTTTTTTGCCTGCTGCAGTCCTCTAACCATGAATTAGATTTTGAGTGACCTTGGGGGTTCAACTTCCAAAACTTACTGTAAGATCATCATCCCAAAGGGGCTATCCAAATATGATGTCCCTTGGTGGTTTGGTGGTGGAGATTCTATTGATATTCGCTGTAAAATTCAGTTTATCATCGATAATAGTTCCGAGGTACGACCTGTTAGCTGTCACCATCTATAGATACAATTCCGAGTGTGGCGTAAAACTAAACTCACTCACTACTCTTAAATCACTATCTATGTTTTTCTCCATATTTGGGATTAAAAAGTTGTTGCACCAATGGTAAAACCTCATAATTGCTCTGTGGTACAGGGAAACAAGTGCTGGAATTTATTTGTGTAGGTTCCACCGTCAATACTCCGACGGTCGTGAGTGTACAAAGTGAACAGTATTGGGGTCAACAGGCAACCCTGTGAAGTGAATGAGTGAGTGAGTTTAGTTTTACGCCGCTTTTAGCAATATTCCAGCAATATCAAACGGAGGACACCAGAAATGGGCTTCACACATTGTGCCCACGTTGGGAATCGAACCCGGGTCTTCGGCGTGACGAGCGAACGCTTTAACCACTAAGCTACCCCACCGCCCCGCAACCCTGTGGAGCAGTCTTCTTTGTGAATGTGTAGTATTCACTCCCACGTACTAAAGCCGATTGGTAAGGAAATATACTATTCACACTTTGCTAAGGATCAAATCATTGATTCAACAGAAAACTATGATGTGGGGTCGAATTTGGTTTAAATATCCAAGCTTATTGTAAGCATGTTTCTTAGGTTTCAGTATGTCATTGCATCTCGTGGATCCCATACCTGCTATTGACAGGTGTTGTATATTTGTCAATGACTCGTTCCATGATTAGCAAAATGGTTGATTGGTGCCATGAAAACCATTTTTATGGTTACTCATGTATCAAGTGCATAAGGTTAGAATAAAGTGGCTGTCTGCCTAAAGAGGGGTTACCATATTATTATTTATCTGGATAGTTTTAAATGGATACGATTTCCTTATATATATCTACGTTTCAGTAAAGTTGTGAATTATTGTGATCCTTATCAAAGTGTGAGTAGTACAGTATAACATGGATAATCTAATCAGTCACAATATACTAACGCCGACCAGTCCGTGTTTGCTTCCTGTAACATAACAGCTTTGTCCATTTAAGAGAGAAGCGATATACAAGCAGATAAAGGATAAGTTGACAGATATCCTTTTCGTATATACGTGTACTTGTTTCTTGGACTTATTTTATTGCATTTTAAAATATCAAGTCAGCTTTGGAAATTTCTTACAGCAAAACGGTTATTGTAGAAATATGAATGAAGTTGAAGCATCAGCTGATGTACGATGTAGTGTACGATGTAGTGTCCATCACTTGTATCAGGCAGTGGACTGCAGTCGACGGAAGGGATTTACCTCCATTCTCTCTATTTGTCTGGCCATATCATAGATATCGTCTGTTACCTTCGATGGGGACCGCATTTTATTCTTCACGCTTTCTTTAATGAACTCGTATAAATCCAGTTTATCTAGTGCGATTTCCTCCCCGTTGACGTTGACAACCAGCTTTGAGGCAGACCCCGCAGACTGTTCGAGAGATATCATCATATTTGATAGCATGATTGGCTCGACTTTCAGACGTTCAATAACTGCACTTTCCACAAAGTCTTTCATGACATCATCCAGCTTCGTCACGGTGGTAATATTTCTCTCCAGTATCTTCACTGCGTCGTTGTACGCCTCCAGTCTCCCTTTTGTGCACTTTTCGTACCTGGCTTTTCCAAATTGCCAACACAAAATGCACAATAAGCGCTAGTATCGAAGCCGTACCCAAGCCTATTGATGCTCCGAACGTGAAGGGGCGGCAATCAACGCAGCGGTGCCAAGTGCAGCCCCTCAACCATAGCTCCGTTCAGAGTATTTCCAAGTTTTGCACCTCCCCAGCTACGTCTCTAAGCCCTGTAACAGACTGCTGCTGTACGATCTCTTCGTTGCGTGAACTGTCAAAAGATTCTCCACAAGTTTACGGGCGGTCTGTTTCTTTCTGAGGATAGTAAACATATTTCACATTTTGGAGTGACATTTAATGACATGTAATATGAGGCGGTGTTAATGTATGTAACCAAACGCGTGACCACACGCTCAAGCTACACTGCAACTGAAACGGTTTCCTACTGGTACACTCCAGTGTTGGGAAGAACGTTTACGAACACTTCTGAAGTAGGTATGCCAAAATAGTATTGGGAAGAACGTTTACGAACACTTGAAGTATGTATGCCAAAATAGCATTGGGAAGAACGTTTACGAACTCTTGAAGTATGTATGCCAAAATAGCATTTGGAAGAACAGTTACGAACACTTGAAGTATGTAGGCCAACATAGCATTGGGAAGAACGTTTACAAACATTCAAAGTATGTATACCAATTTCATACCAACCTTTCCATCTCTTTTGACATCTCCTCTGAATAAAAGAAAACATATTGATGTAACCAGTATTTAGGTTTGGTCTCAGTCAGAATGCATTAGCTTCCAGATGTCTTTGCAATGTACTTCCCTGCCAGCTCAAATGTGAAAGCAGTGTCATGTTAAAATGAAACATTAAATTACGTAGTGACAAAAGAGTGAGTTATTGAGTATAGTTTACGCCACACTCCGGTAATATTAGAGCTAAATGGCGGCGGTCTGTAAATAATCGAGTCAGACAATCCAGTGATCAACAACATGAGCATCGATCTACGCAGTTGGGATACGATATTACATGTGTCAACCAAGTCAGCCAGCTTGACCACCTGATCCCGTTAGTCACCTCTGTCGTCAAGCATGGGTTGCTGAAGACCAATTCTAACCTGGATTTTCATGAGTAGTGACAAAAGATACAAATTAATAAATTGAACTGTCCTGCGTACAGCTGACCAAACCTACCATACTGGTCTTCCGGGATCCTGACTTCAACAGTTATCTCCACCTTTTGACCTTTAATCATGTCGAAAACGCCCTCTTCTTGAATGAGATTCAGGATGAGTTCATTCAGTCGACCTTCCTTGGCTGCCTTCTCGATACAATGGAGGAAGTTGGAGTCTGTCACGTGGAGTTTCAGCACCACACTCCCCCGATATATCCGCTCCAGTCCAGCATATAGTGTATTGAAGAACTGTCGCAAATTGTCCCAATACTCCACGTCTGTTGGCTACTTCGGTCAAGCGTTCCTCGGCAGCAGTATTTCCGCTGATGGTTATGTGTGTCTCCACTGTGTCAATGCCTGAAAGCAATATAACATTCACTGTCTGAATACTATAGCGACAAGACTATACAAATACCGAAGTATATGAAAACAGATCCATGTAACTAACAAATCCACAGCCTACATGACTAGTTACATCATTAAAACGAAAATTATAACCCTGATCTGATGTTCCAGAATCAACAATTTGTAAACATAACTATCGCAACATGTGTGGTATTGTCCACACCACTAACGCAGAGCATGGGACATATTGCTGATTGTTCTGTAATGGCAATCAAGGTATAAAGACTTTAACCCCATCGAAAATGTATAGGATGCTCTTGGTCTACGTCTACGACCACGTCAGTTTCAGCCACAACACCTCCAACAGTTGGAACAAGCACTGCAGGAAGAGTTAGTGAACATTCCCCTGGCAACATGTCGTAGTCGAAAGGCAGTAGTGCGACGACGACAGGCAGTTCTGGATTCTCATGGACGTCATATAAAATGTTGAAAACAGGTGTCCTTCATCTTGACATGAGATTGTTTGATGTGTGCCATGATGTACGTCGGTCAGTGACAATGACTTGTGCCAAATGTGACCGACGTTTTATGAACTGATGATTATCTATAGAAACCATACATGTGAAAAAAACTAATATTTCTGCGGGTTTTCGTCATTCTTGCCGAGTTTGCGAGTTTGTACTTAAACTGATTCTGAATGAACGGTAAAGATTATAATGCTAACTATAAAAACCATCACTCCTTATACAAACATGCTGATTCGTTTTGGTGCCATGATGTTGCAATATATCAGATTTACAGAGATTATGGTTTGCAATCATCCATTTTGTCATGGAGCCTTGTGGCGAGTTGGTTTGTCACTCTGAATCTTTATGCATAGATCTAAATATGAAACAGTTAAGGCGGCTTCACCTATCTCCTTAATTTCATGTTTAGGTGGGTAAATAAGTAGAATGCAAGTGACTATTTCATGGTTACTGAATGATATCAAATCATCGATATACCGGAAGCTTAAGTTAAACTTCTTGGCAAATTACCTTGTTTTGATTTTGCCAACCCAAGAAGAAATTCTGATTCATATGTATAAAATAACAGTTGCGCAATTGGTACCCATGGTGATGGCTTCTTCTTGGCGAAATGATATACCCCCAAATCTCACAAAGATGTTATCAATGAGAAAGTCCAGCATTTCACATATTGTTTTCTCGGTAAACTTCAAATAACATTTGCTTTAATTTTCGACAAATTGTCCTGAACCTCTGCAGATAGATATGTAGGTATGTCTGTGTTCACCACGTGTGTTAACAAATGCCCCATGGATCAAGGAATGAAGATTTTCCTTAAGACAGTCATGTGACACAGTGGTAGACAACGTTGACAAATATTTGCTTTGACAGAATGGAATTCGGTCAGTTTCTGAGATTGTAAAATGTATTGGTATTAATTTCGCTTGTCTGAAATAAGTTGTCTCAGCATATCGAGAAAGTCCTTCCTTGATAGTATGAAGGATTATGGTTAATGTTTGAGACAGGGATATGGTGGACAAATCGCCAATTACAAAGAGAGGAATGGACATGTATTCAGGTTTAAGAGTCAAAAAGAAAGAAAGACGTTCATAGACAAGGTACTTACTTGCTTTACGGATCACGACACTCATTTTTACTTCTGTGCCTTGAGGCAATTCATGTATTCTGTTCGTATCCAACACTATGGTGTTTTAGTCCCATTTGAAGACAGTTAATTATTCCATTTCTTGTGTCTACCAGCATTTTATTGTTGTTTCCTGCTTGTATGTTAGGTTGGTCATCGTCATCGGACGAGTAACAGATGTCCATGGTGCAGCAGAGTACCTACAACAAATAGGAAGAGGAAGCATGTAATAGGACAGGGAGGAAGTTTTCAATAACCTGTTGATAGTGATGGACAGTAAAATAACAAATGTGTTTCTTTTAAGAAACAATGAACAAAGAGTATTATGAATAGTGACTGCAGTGAAAAAACAATCCCCCATTGCTGCCTCCTCAGTATCCCAGAAACTTGTATACACCCCACCATACATTTCCAGTCTACATCTTCAAACGAGATTAAAATGCTTTGACTCAAATTGTCATCACTGGGAATATATATGCACTTCCGATTTAATCCCGATGTTTTGTGCTCGAGAAAAGCATGACATTCCCTCTCTGTTATTATGTGACGCTTCTGGTTCGTAATGGCATCACTTCCGGTAACGCCGAGGACGTCTTCGCGTCCTGACCTACTCACTCATCCTCTTGGGTTACATAAGGGGTATTGACAATGTGTAACTTTGTTGATTTCGCATTGATCACTTTCTCTTTTCCTTCTGTTGTTTCTTCTCCGCCTGTTTTACTGTAGTCAAACTTGCCATCCGTTTTTAAGCAAATCCTTTCACTTGTGTTTGTTTAAGTCTGATATACGCCTTTGTATTCCTCACAAAATGTTCACAAATTATTTTGTGAGTGTATTACCTTGTAACTAACTTAATATATGTATTTATGTATATCACTGGAGCAGGCAGAACCCACTGTTTCAGGTAAACGTTGGCAGTCCACTGACAAACAACATTCTGACCACTTTGACACATCCCCGGAACAACAAATAGCTACCGCACCTGGCATTACTACATGGATGTAACTGTGTTGTCGTCTGCCAAGTCAGATTTGTTCGGGCGATAGTAATCATGACATTCCATAACAACCAAACAGAATATCAGAGAATGTATTGATCAAAACATTTTCAATCTGCCGAAATACAAATTTATAAGACGAAATTATATCGTATTTAAAAACGAATTCGTCAACGTTTGACTAATATTATTATTATTTTATAAACTGAATAAACATGAAATATATATATACACTGAATAAACAAGAAATATATATATATACACTGAATAAACATGACTATGATATATAATATATATAAACTGAATAAACATGACTATGAAATATATACACTGAATAAACATGACTATGAAATATATATATACACTGAATAAACAGGACTATGAAAGATATATATATACACCCACACATTGCAACTCTCCTAACAAACAGCATATAAACAAATCAACTGTAGACGCCAGACACTGCGACTATCAGCTGTTTTCAGTCTGTCGTATCAAGAGTGTATGTGTGTAGAAGTGGTATCTTAAAGGATATGGAAATAGAAGCAACAAAACTCTTTCCACGTCCATAGGAAATCTCGATTGTACAATTGAGATGAAATCATGAATATATATTTGTTTCAGCAGCATTACAGCTGTATGATGTTGTTTGTAAACAACTCGAGTCTGAACCGGACATTCCAGTGATTGTCACCATGTGATACGATGACAGAGCATGTGTTAATGAATCACTATGAAATAGTGATGATACCAGGTGTTCGCGAAAAGGTAACCGTATCCTGCCCCACCGGTGGCACCCGTCATAAACATATGCAAAGTCTAGTCAATTGTTCATATGAAATAATTCGGGAACGTATGGTATAAGTCAAAACAGGGAATTGCATCGGACATAATTTTTGTCACTGATGAGCCAAATTTGGAATTTCCTCCACATGTCTTCCATAAAGCGTTTTGAAAGCTTTACTGAGGCCTTGGATATGGAAACGGTACGCTCTTACCACGGTACAGTACGTATTGCGGTACAAGATCTTCGGTTCGGTATATGAGATAAGATCATAATTCAAAAATGGACAATACGAGCTAAACCTTACATTGTTTAATGACAGGGAAATAATAATCATAATCTTTGCTATTTTGAATGAACAAAACTGTCATTTCATGACTAGATTGAAAAAGTAATAAGTCCGATAATATTGTAAACAGTGTTTTTTTTAATGAAATTGGGATTAAATGTAATCAAATAAAAAGAGATCGAGGAAGTTTTATTATGAGTTTTTACATCATACGTTTTCGGATGGCATGTTTACTCGCTGTATATGACGCTGTGTGTTGCATCAGAGCAAACATGGTGAGTACTCGGCTGATGGTATGTCTTTATGATAAAGTTGTCTTTTATAAGTTATTACCATGTTCCGATGTTCGTCTATTGATCTGGTATCTGCATTTGCTGTCTTGCTGACTTTGTAAGTTGACGACTTGAGGCGATCTCGACCTTACTTCCAGGAAAACAGCGGTCGTCCAGCAAAGAAATGCACAGGTTTTGATGAAATGATTCGATTTCAAGACGTTTTGGAAAAGTTCAAAAAGGTGAATAAAATGACGGTACGAAAACCGAAAATACCGAATTTTAGGATTGCATTACGGTATTCCTAACCGAAGGCAAAATACCGCGGTTCAACTAATACCGCGGTTCAACTAATACCGCGGTATACCGTTTGACCCCTACTAATCAAGAAATTTCTGAGCAAGAGTGGCATGACGCCTTTTGAATTCCTGATAAAAATAGCACGCTAGATTGTACCTCAGAGCTGTTGGAATATTGCCCAACATGAAAGGAAGATGACTAATGGAAAGTTGAAATCAACCCTTTTGTCATTCAGCTTTGTGGAGAAATGTGTCACTGAATCTTTATGTATAGATCTAAATATGAAACAGTTGAGGCGGTCTCACTTGTCTTCTTAATGTCAAGATCAGGTCGGTAAATCAGTGGAATGCAATTGGCTATTTGCAGGTCACTTAAAATCCAAAGCGTTAGCATTCATCAGACAATTATTAGTCAATTAACGTGTGCTTTTTCCTTTCCATAAAATTTGAGACGTAAAGATCATAGAAATAATAAATAACAACAGAACAAGAAAACATGAATAGACGTAGAATAGTATATGTAACTAAAGGTTTAGGTGACAATTGACCGCTGTCGGTAGTCTCTATGAGAGGGTGTATACAAGCATCGTCTTGAAGGAGTAAACATTTATACACGGTGAACTCTAGCTACAAACATCTCAACAAACCCCTTTCATAAAATAGACCATCAGAATACCTACCAATTATTGCGATGTTGATGCTAATATCACTTTTATTAGACTTTCAATAACGAACGATTCAAAGTATTCGTAGAAAGGCATACAATGTCCATGTGAAAGTGTTGAAATCAGACACTACACAATTAGCTTCCCAAAATGACCTATTCTAGGGCGTAATCTGACCTTATGATGCAGCTGTAAGGGACTAATATTTTCATTGGCTGATATGTAGGCTTGTTGGCCATGGTATGTAATACCGAGCCGACCTGACATAGACAGATGATGCTATGAAGAAGATCCCAGGCAGACTGGGCGCCGGCCCAATCGTTGAAGTTCAACATCGTGTCAAACGTGTTTAAACCCAGTGAGGGGATTCCCCAAGTGCTGAATTTTTTGCGAATGATGGTGGCGATTTTGTAACGTGAAGCATAAACAATACACATACTATAAATGTTAACACAATAACAACACAACACGACATGCTATAAATGTTAACACAATAACAACACAACACAACACAACATGCTAACAGGTTATAATACAGGCCACACAAAGCCAAGGAGGCTATACAAGAGAGTCAGTCACCTTACACAGGCGACAGTGATTGACAGCAAGGTACATACTGCGTCGCAGTACTGCGACCATGAAATGTACGTGTAATACGCCACACGCTACTTACAGTATAATGAATGTCCGCTAAGATCCTATTCTGTCCACCCCTGCGCTGTGTGCGTCTACCGTCAGTGTCCAACACGGCACGCATGTGATGGCTTTGTGCGTGACGCTTGACCTGCCACCGATAACCTACCTCGGCTAAACCTGCATTCAGTCTCTTACGTTCTATATGAATTCAAATAAAGATTCCTCGGTAATATAAATAAGTTGTCCCTATAAAAGACTGGCGTTCTTAGACTGTCCTCTTACCTAGACGTGTCTATTATAAATGGATTGAATCACAACACTTCCCTGGACTTAACATCCAGTGCAGCCTTGCAGCAAGGCTATATCTGGGTCTCCTGCCTTCGACGGTTGTGTCTGAGCCGCTGAGTGGAGGAGGGACGGTATAGACAACTTTAGATATTACACACATAGCCTGTCAACAAAAGTAACCGGCATGTGTGTCATGTCTAACCTGTTTTTTATCGATGGCACGGTGACATTTGACCTTTAGTTACCAGCTTCTTCCGGGAGTACCTCAATAAGAGAAATTGTGAGAGAGATGTTTTGGTTGTGTCCCTCGAATTTTGCAGACGTCCCCTTCCGTGTTTACAAGGTAGAGTGTCAGGATGCCATAGCGGATAGAACCACTATGACCTCATATTGAGATACCAGCTTATTGAGTTTTAACTGTGATGTTCAAACTGTGAATGTCTGAAAGTAGTCTGTCTCACAGGCCCTGAACAACATTATTTCCCCAACTGCCTAGCCCTCCTGCAATAAATGAAGCAAAGTTTAGATTTCCTCAGGTTCTGAATTTCATCTCACTAGAGCTCCTTTTCAGTTTAAATCGATTTATTTGTTACTATTTACATTATATATATTCACAGACTAAGCTTTAGTCTAGTCTGAGAAGAGAGACATTGAATACACAATATCAAGAGAAAAACCGTCTAATATTGTCACGTAGACATAACCCATAATATACTCAGCGGCAAAACCGTCAGTACGAATTCAAAATTAGATAGGCACTGTAATCACATCACTACAGAAATAGACATAATAAGCCGATCGAAAACATTTTGTGTACAATATCTTGACACATCAATGAATAACTCAGC